CGGGACACCGGTGGAACACCAGCGGGACACCAGCGGGACACCAGCGGGACACCGCGCGCCACTGGTTGCCGGGCGAAGAACCTTTTGGTCCAGCCGCGGCCCAGCCACAGGAGAATTTCCTCTCCCTCGCCCACGCAGCTTCGCCTCGCCCGCACGCACGGCACGAACACGAAACCGAAATCGATTTCCCGGTAGGAGGGCTCTCCGTTCCACTTCGATCTCACCCCCCAACCTCCGTCCCAACACAGGAGGGTTGGAAAACAACTTGTTCTATTTTTACATGAGAAATAACATGTTATTCTATTTACCTATATAAACACACACACACACACACCTATACGACCACCCTTCGGGTGATAAGGAGGTTGTGGGTTGGGGGGGGGAGAGGGGGGGGAACCAACATCTGCCTCAATCGATCTCACTATCAATCTCTCTCAACGGGACAGCACGGGACACCACGGGACACTTGTCGATCTCACTATCGATCTCACTATCGATCTCACTCAACGGGACACTACGGGACACCACGGGCCACCACGGGACACCACCGGACACCACGGGACACTTCTCGATCTCACTATCGGTCTCACTATCGATCTCACTCAACGGGACACTATAGGGCACCACGGGACACCACTGGACAACTCGGGACACCACATCGATCTCACTATCCATCCCTCTATCGGTCTCACTGTCGATCCCACTCAGCGGGACACCACAGGTCACCACGGGACACCACGGGAACCCTGTCGATCTCACTGTCGATCTCACTATCCATCCCACTATCGATACCACTATCGATCTCGATATCGATCTCACTATCGATCTCGCTTTCGATCTCACTATTCATCTCACTATCGATTCCACTATCGATCTCGCTATCGATCCCACTCGATCGATCTCACTATCGATCTCACTATCGCTCTCACTACCGATCTCACTATCGATACCATCTCTCACTACAGATCTCACTATCGATCTCACTATCGGTCTCATGGTCGATCTCACTATCGATCTCACTATCGATCTCACTACCGTTCCACTTCGATCTCACCCCCCAACCTCCGATCATTATCGATCTCAGCACGTGAAACCACGGGACACCACGGGACAACGACGGGACACCGGCGGGACACCAGCGGGACACCAGCAGGACACCGGCGGGACACCGCGCACCGCCTGTTGCCGGGCGGAGAACCTGTTGGTCCGGCCGAGGCCCAGTCACGACGGGACACTGGCGGGACACCGGCGGGACACCAGCGGGACACCGGCGGGACACCGCGCGCCACCGGTTGCCGGGCGGAGAACCTTTTGGTCCAGCCGCGGCCCAGCCACAGGAGAATTTCTTCTCCCCCGCCCACGCAGCTTCGCCTCGCCCGCACGCACGGCACGAACACGAAACCGAAATCGATTTCCCGGTAGGAGGGCTCTCCGTTCCACTTCGATCTCACCCCCCAACCTCCGATATATAAAAAGGAGACGGCCCCCGTGAGGGGCCGCAACAGCGCGCAACCGCCCCGCGCCGCTGGAAACCGACAGCCCATCCACCCAGCATGATCGAGAAGCCCCCCAAGAGGCCCCCAAAGAGACCCCCAGAACACTCCGAGGCGCACCCCAAGTGTGCCAAAAGAGCCCCGGGCCCCCAGAAGCACCCCAAGAGGCCCCCCACGAGCCCCTACCCAATGTCCCCGATGCCTCCGCCACTGTCCCTCTCCTCCGTCCCCCCCCCTCCCACCTTTGCGCCCAGAGCCGGCGACTCCGACGGGCGTGGTTTGCAAAGGGTGCGGTTTGCAACCCGCACCCAGGGGGCGGAGGGGGGGAGTGGGCGAGGATCTCGACGGAGATCTCCGCCGCGCCCCGGCGAGGGCTCCTCAAACCCTTGGCGCGACGTGGTGAGCCCTTCTGAGCCCCAACGGCGAAGGCTCTGCTCTCATGGCCGACGGGACCCGGCCTGGGAGCAGGTCTGTACCGGCGCCCGGCGCCATCCTGCGGTTCGTGCAGCAGTGCTGGTGGATCTGCGCGGTCGCCATCCCCGTGGGAGTGCCGAAGAGGGCCCATCATCTGTCTTTCCACGACGCCGTCTCCTTCCGGTGGCCGCCAGCGAGGAATGGGGCGGCAATGGGTGGGGCGCACCTGCTTGCCGCGGCCGCACAGCTTTTTGCTTGGCGGCGCGTACAGGGGGGTAGGGTGAGGGGGGAAGGCTTCTTATCAGAAGGAGGCCGCTTCTCAGAAGGCGCCAGCCCCACATCTATGGATGAGGCCCGCACCTTCTGAGAAGCAGGGGTGCTTCTAAGAAGCCGTTCTCCCTCCCCGCACCCCCAGGTCTGCGAGCGGGCGGGCCGCTTCCAGGCAGCCCCGTCGAGGTAATTGAGGGGTGCGGCTGAGGGGAAGTACCCTGTGCTCGGGGAGAGCGCCAACTGGGGAAAACGGGGGGAGGGAGGACTGGGGGTGGAGATGGATAAGGGAATGCACATCCTCATTTTTCTCCTCCTCTTCCTCCTTCTCCTCCCCCCCTCTGCGCGTGGCTGATGCTTGCCGCGGTCGCAAAGCCTTTAACACCCGCCAGAGCCAGCTGATGCGGGGGCGCCGCAGCCGTCCGGCGGCCTCACGGGAGAGGGCCGCGGAGAGGTGCGCCGTGGGCCAGGGCGTGCCCCGCGGGAGGGGGCAGTCCTCCGTGGTTCTGTGCCTGCCTCGGGTGGCAAAACGGGGGGGGAGGGGACGGGGATTGCAGCAGCAGTGCGGCGCTGATGCCCTGAAGGGGGTAGGCCTACACGTCGCTCCTGTTTCTAATGGTGCTCGCTTCTGATCGTGCTCGTTTCTGATTGTTCCTGGGCCCCCTAGTGGCCAGGATGAGGCCCAGGATAGAACAATCAGAAATGAAAGGACCTTGGCCCCCCCCGAAAATTCAATAACTGTCGAAGAATTAGAGATGAACCATGTGTAGCCCTTTACATAGTAGTGTAGCGCTGATGCCCTTAAGGGGTAGGCGTAGCTCTTTATATCTCGGGTGGGGCACTCGGGCTCGCCAACCCCTGTAAGCTGGTGCTGGTGAGAGTTGGGCAGTCCCACCTTCTATGGAGGGGCACAACGTGCCTTCCTGTTGCACCTGACATAGCGGTTGGCATGCGTCCGCCGCATAATTGGCAGCCACATCTGCCGATTCCAGCTTGGGAATGCTGAGGAGGGAACGGGAAGGAGGGGGAGGAGAAGGAGGAGGAGGAAGAGGAGGAGGAAGAGGAGGAGGAGGAGGAGGGGGGTCCAGTGTAGCTTGCTCCTGGAAGTCGGGCCGAGAGGAAAGAAGCGCCACTCCAGGCTTCTGGGCACTGCGTTTGCGACGGTCTGCTCTCACGGAGCCGTGTCTTGGCCTCCGAGCCCGCTCGAGCACAACCCGCGCTGCCCCTCCAGGGGGATCCGCCGTTCGGGCGCGCAGCCCTTGCGGGCACCCCTTGGGGGCGGAGGGGAGGAGGGGGAGGATTGGACTGCGCTTCGCAAGGAAACTGGGTCAGCTGCTCGTTGTCTGAGAGGACTGCCCTGTTCAGCCCTAAACTTGCAGCCGCTCGATGCGCAGGCGGCTGCCAGATCCCTACAGGGGGGAGGGCTGACTGGGGGAAGCTCTCAAGAACCCCCCTTGTGTTACCGTTCGCACCCAGCGGAAATCAACAATCCGCGGGGGGCGGATTCGGCGGAGCGATGTTTCAGCGTGCTCGGTGCGCCAGGGGCTCACCGGAAAGGGGACTCTCAAGAGCTCCCCTGGGGCGAGCCGAAAGCAGGGGGGAGAGGGGGGAGGGCAAGACTGCCCTCCTCTGTCTCCCCGCACGGCTGCTGCCGCTCTCGCCTCGTGGCCCTGCGCTGCCGCTCGCCTCCGTGCCGGCCCTCGGGCACACCACGGGGGGCCCCCCGGCTGGCACGAGATGGGGCGGAGGAGGGGGGCCCGGGCCTCAGACGCCGTGCCCTTCCACGGGAATTTCCCCCCAGCCCTCTCGACCCCATCCCTGGGTTCAGTGGTTTGTCGCGGGCACGGTGAGGGGCATGGGAGAAGGAGCCATCGGATCAGGAATCCAGGGCCTGGAAGCCGGTGGGAGGACACCAGCTGAGGCTCGGCCATGGATACCACCGCCGCCCGCAACCGAGAAGGAATCCTCCAGGGTCTGAAGCCTCCTGGGCACATTCCTTGTCGAACGCCCCCACCGGAATTGTGGACGATCCAAGGCCCCATAACGGCCCCTGGTGGCCAGAAATCGGCACGAGAACGCCCCTGGTTCTTCGCGATGCTCGGAGGTCAAGTTACGGTCGGGAACCTTTGCCTAGCGTGTCGCGGCGGCGGCCCCAGCGACGCGCTGTGCCCTGCAAGCGGACAGCGTGCCGCTCCGCTCCGCGGGGCGGGAGGCTGGGAGAAGCTCGGGACGGAGACACTTGGAGAACGGGACGTGGTCATCGTGTTGCGCCGAAGCGCAGTGGGCCAGAACCCGGGGCGCGACGCGCTGAGTACAGGCGCCTGACCTCGGCGGCGAGCCCGGTGGGGGAGTGAGAAGGGGCGGGCCTTCTCAGAAGGCTCGGAAGGCCTCTGGCCTTCTGAGAAGCTTTCTGAGCCTTCCCTGGAGGCACAGAAAACCTCCCAGAAGGCCGCCGGGCTTCTGAGAAGCCCCGCCGCCTTCTGAGAAGGCTGGCTCTCCTGCGGCCGTTCGGGGCGATCTGGGCACCCCCGGAACGCCCTCGGCGAGGCGCAGCCGCTCAAACGCACCCCGAGGCTGGGAAACCGCCGATAACCGACGAAAACGTCCGAAGTCCTCGAACCTCAGGCCCAAAACTTCCCCCTCTTGCGGGTACCCCTTGGGGGCGGCCAGGCTCAGCGCGAGGGAGGACAGAGGGCGAGAGCAAGAGGTGGAAGGAAAAGTGGGAGGAGGAGGCCAAAGAGAACGAGGAGGGGCATGATGATGAGGGCGGGCACGACGACGAAGGTCGACGGAGCGGCCAGGGGGGGAGGGCGAAGAGAGCGAGGACGCGGAGGAGAAGGAGCTCGCAGTGTCATAGGGCGAGAGGCGGCACCACACGCAGCAGGGGCTCGGCGCCCCGGAGGCCGCCTGGCGCCGCCCAGATCTGGGCCGCCCAGCTTTTCCAGGAAGGGCAGAGGTCCGCAGCTCCGAGGCCGCCCGCACGGGAGGGCGGTCGGGCCTGGGGCAGAAGAGCATCCTCCAATCGGCGGCGAGCGAGGGGGGGGAGCGAGAAGGAGAAGGCCTTCTCGGAAGGCGGCGAGAAGGAGGAGGCGAGCGATGGGGGGGGAGGCGAGAAGGAGAAGGCCTTCTCGGGAGGCGGCAGGACTTCTGGGAGGTCCTCACGCCTTCCGAGAAGCTCTCCGCGTCTCCGGGGAGGGCTCAGAGAACTTCGGAGAAGGCCGGGGGACTGCCGAGCCTTCTGGGAAGGCCCGCCCCCTCTCACATCCCCCCCGGGCGCGCCGCCGATCCAAGGACACGAGGCCCTCCGCCGGTCAAAGTGAAGAGCATTCGAGGGTGCCCTCCCCAAGGATGCACAACAGACACGAAGAGCGTCAGGGCATCCCCCCCGAAGCGTCCTCGATCTGCTACGGTGAGGGCATTGAATAAGGAAACCTTCGATAAGGAGTCCAGGGTCTGGAGGCCGCTGGAACTCCAATCGAGGCCCAGCCATGGATGTCACCGCCGCCCTCATCAATTAAGGAACCCTCCAGGGTCTGAAGCCTCCCGGGCACGTTCCTTGACGAACGCCCCCACCGCATTCTTTTATTAGGCAGCGTTGAGGACCACTTCGTTGTTCGTTCATTCCGAATTGCACGAGCGCCCCCCTGTCACGCCACAGCGCGATCCCACAGTTGGGCAGTACGCAGTCCCCCCGATGAGAGCTGAGAACGGGGCTCCGAAAACTTGGAAGCGAGTCACCCCCGCGTTCTGGCGACTCCCGGCCAGGCACAGGTCCCACTGAAAATCTCCAGATAGCCTCACAAGAGCACCAAGCGTCCAGGCGATGAGAAATCTTGGTGGACGGCCCTCGTCGATGGGTCCAGGGTCCTGAGGAACCCCTGCGCGTCTGTGGGTCCTCGGGGCCATCTCGGGATGAGGAACTCCCGTAGGGCACCTGCTGGCAGGCTGGCTTCTCATTGGACGCGCCTACGGTAGGCTCCCCGACCTCCATCTAAAGAGCAGCCCGAAAACCATAGCCCCTCCCGAGCCCAAGACGGTCCTCGTGTCAGCGTCATGACTGCAGGTCCGGGGCGGGGAGGTGGGCGAGCGATGGGTGACGACGGGGACGGCACAATTCAAAGTGGAGCCGCCATTCAGGAACGCCGCTGCCGCAGCAGGGCGCGGCCATGCCAGAGCTCCGCATCACGCATCGGTCTTGTCGTCGTCGTGGTCATCATCCGCCGCCAACTCCTCACGGACCCACTGATTCGTCTGCAGATTCCAAGCCACGTGGTCCGTGTTGTTCGGCGCGCCATGGTCGTTCGGCAGCGATGTGACTGCTATCTTAACGCGCTGGAATCCCGCCGTCGCTGAGTACACGGACCATGCGGTTGTGTCCCTGGGGCACATCGCCTCCTGAGAGACCCGCCTCAAATCCCTGACCACGCCCAAGCGAGTAAAAGCAGACCTTCGGTCTCGAGACCTGGTAGGCAACCACACGCGAACCCTACCCCTGCAGGTCAGACCTGGAGGTCTCCGAAGCAAAGGCCCCCAGAAGTCTCCAGAGGTCCTCAGAGGGCAAGAACGCACGACAGCTTCAAAGCACAGTCAAACACCTCCCCCCTGGTGCCCAACTTGCCCTTCCCTGTCCAGGATGCCTTCCCTCAAACCTTGCCACCGCCACCCGTTGCCCCAGAGGCCGTGCCCGGCGGGCCGCAGGTTGGGATCCCAAGCTGGTCCCCGCCTTCTGGGCGTACATGATGACGCCCGACTGACTGGTGGTGTAGTCGTTCCCGATCGCCCATATGAACTGCGGTGCTATGAAGTACAGGTACTGAAGCGGACCATTCTTGATGGACTTCCACTTGACAAAGATAGGCCTTCCACCATTGTACTTCGGACTCGGGATGCTACTCTTCACGTACGTGCCATAGGCGTCCGACGCTGATCGACGAGCAAACCAACAGACTGTCTCAATCTGCCACGCAGAACACCTGCCCCTGGCCTGATTGGTTATCCTAAAAACAGCTGTGTTGCTCATCTGCTTCTCCTAACTGGATAAACCTAGAAAGGACTGACCGACTGCTTCAGGGAAGAATGCCAGGCCGAATCGAATTTCGCGCAGATACCTCGACTGACAGACCCTGGGGGAGCACGCCTAGTGACTGAGGGCTTTGTGCTGTGTACCACGCGCGCGCGTCACGCGCGACTGCCTACGAGCGAATACTCAGTCCCTGCTACCCAGCCGCCCGATACCCGGCTAAAGCGGGGACGGCGGGCCCCATCCGACCCCTCGAAAGCAGCAGCTCAGGCTCAACGCCTTTCCTTTCAGCGAGGACGCCTTGTGGCCGGCGCTGCAGAACGCGTGGCATGAGTGGGGCGCTGCGCACATGCCGCGCGAGATGCCCGTACGAGAACGGCACGGCAGGTTCGCGTCGCGCCGGCTTCGGTGTTGGCTTCTGACACCGCGGGGATCGTTCAACCTCGAATGGTCGGCCGTTTCCGAATCGTCAGATCGTTTAAAATCGACCGATTCTCGGGTCGGGCGAAAGGGGGGATAGCAAAGGGGAGGTTTGAGAATCAGCTCACGTAGCTGATTTTCCCGGCGCCTCCCGGCGCCGGAGGCGGTCATGTATCGAGGAATGGGCCCCTCGGTGAGGCCGAAACCAGCTGCATGCAGCAAATTTCGTAACCCCCCCTTTCCCAATCCCCCCCTTTCGCCCGGCCCGAGATTCTGGGTCGCCGGCGGCGTTCAACGTTGAACGCCAGCGGCGGGGCCGCCGCCGGTCGACACGACACGAACCTACCGTACCCGTGCACCGTACCATGTCTGGACTCGCTGCGGGCCTCGCTCCAACGCGGTAAGGTGCATAGTTTGTCGGCTCTGAGAGGCCAGAAACCTATGCACCGCACCATGCTTGAGTCGAGGATCGACGACGCCTCGTGAGACGCCAACGCGTTATGGTGCACACAAGTCTTCCGCGGAGTCCAGACGTTAGTGTCGCCCCAGCGCCGCGGCCGCTCGGGCGCGGCGCGCAACTTTCAGTGGCGTGACCGTCAGAAGCGAGCCCGTGGCCGAAGCAGTGACATGCCGCCCTCGCCCGGAGCTGTTCCTGCAAGTCGGGCTCCCGCTTGGGCGGGACGCGTGTTAAACCAGGGACTGGGGATGCCACCCCCCTCGAACTGCCCCTAATTTCATTTCTTCCGACCAGCGGATCGCACGCTACGCGCGCTTTCCGTCATACTTTGTGATGGCGCGAGGTCGCTAGCTCGTCCACTCTTCCTCTTCTTACGTCCTCTCTCCCCCTCGCCCTTGTTTCATCCTTGCGGAATATTGGGGCCTTTTTGGGCCGTCCAGGGAGGGAATCGGGCCGTCTTCGGGCCCCCTTGAGCCGTCTTGGAGTACTTTGGGGAGCCGCTTGGGCCGTCTTGGAACGATCTCGGCGGCCTCTTGCCATCTTTGCCGGCCGGATGCTTGAAAATGAGAACGATAAAATCGTTCACAAGCATCTCGGATGTTTGCGATATTGCCTCTCGAGGCCAACTCGAGGGCACTTTTGGAGCCCTCTCGAGGCTTCTTGGAGCCTCTTGGGTCGTCTTGAAGCCATCTTGGGCCGTCTTGAAGCACTCTTGGGACATCACGGGGCCACTTGGACCCTTTGGAGCCGTCTTGGAAGCAATCTTGGACCGCCTTGGGCCCTCTTGGAGAACCATACTGGGGACGTATTGGGGCCCTCTTGGGCAGTCTTGTTGACCTCCGTTGGGCCGTCTTCGGGCCTTCCAAAAGCGATGCCAAGACGATGTTGAGAGCATCTCATTTGTTCGAAGAGGTATGCAACTAAATCAGAATTTTCGACCCCAAGGAGAGCGTGTTAGTGGAGGCAATATTGGACCGTATTGGGCCCTGTTGGGGACCACATTAGGGCCATCTTGGGCCATCTTAGGGCCCTCGTGGACCGTCCTGGCGGGCTCTATTGGGCCGTCTTGAGGCCTTCCATGAGCGACACCAAGACGATGTCGAGAACATCTCAATTGGTTGAGGATGTCCCTGCCGAAATCTACATGTTGGGTCGCACATAGGGCGCCTCTTGGGAGCCTCTTAGGCCGTATTGGAACATCTTGGGCCGGATCCAGACGCTCTTGGGCCGCCTCGGGGACTCTTGGACAATCTGGAGGGCACCTTGGGCCACATTGGTGGCATTTTCGTACCCTCTTAGCCAAAATTGCTGCGGATGGACGGTCAGGAGGAACAGGACGAAGAGGAGGAGGAGGAGGAGGCGGAGGAGGAGGAGGAGCAGCAGGAAGAGAAGGGACGGCGAAGCAGAAGGGAGAAGGAGCTATAGCGGGGACGGAAGGAGCTCGAAAGATTCGCTCGCGGCTGGCTCGCGGAGTTGCGAGTGTTCAACGATTCTGGATACGGGGGCGGAGACCGGCGGAGAGGAGGGTCACACGAGCACAAGCTGCACCTCGGCACGACGCCTGGGCAGGCAAAGCCGGTGGCCTCCTCCTCCTCCTCCTCCTCCTCCTCCTCCTCCTCCTCCAGCTCCTCCTCCTCCACCTGACCGTTCGCCCCTCGCCTCCCCCTGGGCCCAAGAGCTCGTGCCTGGCCGGGTCTCGTGCCAGTGTCTCACCGGCTGGCCAGCACACGCCCGCGCCCTCGGGATCGAGACCGTCTCTGGGCCTGCTCCATGCCTTCTTGTCCTTCGGCTGGATGCCCATGGTCGAAGGGCACTCCTCACGGGCGCTGGCAGCACTCGTCCCGGCCCGCTCGCCATCGCTCGGACGTCTGGCCCCCTTGCACTGTTGCCCTCGTGCACGCTGTTCTCAAGAGGACCCGAGAGATGCCCCAAGATGGTCCAGACTTTCTGGCCTCGCGAGGATCCCGAGATGCCCCAAGAGGATCCGAGAGATGCCTCGAGAGGATCCAAGAGATGCCCCCTGCATGTGTTGGCCTCGCGCATGTTGTTCTCAAGAGGATCAAAGAGATGCCCCAAGGTGGTCTACAGGCTTTCTGGCGCTGGCCTCGCCGACAAGGAGTGCGCACGTCCGAGGGATGCCAGAGCACGAGGTGCACCCACTGGCTGGCGGTGCGCGCAAGGGGGCGGAGGGAGGGGGGAGGGCTTCTCAGCGGCAGGCTGCTTCTGAGAAGGCGCTGCTCCTTAGCAGGAGGCTGCTTCTTAGCAGGAGGCTGCTTCTTAGCAGGAGGCTGCCTCTTAGAAGGCTTCTTGGCAGGAGGCTGCTTCTCAGAGGGCGCCGGCCATACGTGTACAGAGAGAGGGCCCGCGCCTCCTCAAGGAGCAGGGGTGCTCCCGAGAAGCCCTCCCCCCTCCCCCGCACCCCCCCCTGCGCGCGGCCGACACTGGCTCGGTGCCGCCCGCGAGGCCCGGGCGGCTCCCCACGCGAGGCCCGGCAGGGGGGCCGAGGCGCCAAGGCGTCCCTGAAGCCGGGCCCCTGGAGCCAAGGACGTGCACGAGCGGCGAAGGTATCTCGACGGCGAGCGAGGAACTCGCCATCGCTCGGACGTCCATTCCCTGTGTTTTTTGTCGGTTTCGTGCGCGGTTTTCGCCAAATGATCAAGGATGCTCCTCGATGGTCCTCGCCGAAGGAAAAATGCACACGTCCGAGCGATGCCAAGGGAAGGAAGTGCGAAGGAGGAAGAGGCCTCCTCGGGAGGCGGCGGGACTTCTCGGGAGCCCCCGCGCCTTCCGAGAGGGTCTCTGCGCATTCGGCAGAGGCTTCGAAAACCTCTCGGAAGGCCGGGGGACTCCCGAGCCTTCTGGGAAGGCCCGCCCCTTCTCACTGCCCCCCGGGCTGGCCGCCGAGCATCCACATCCACGCCGTCGCGGGGGGGCGCGATCGTACGGATGCCCGGCCGCACGGACACCTTCCGCGCAGGGCATCCACGCAAGATCGCCCCGCATCCGCGGGGTCGCGGCCCAGGCCGCACTGGCCCGCAGGGCTGCGGATACGGAGCTGCTCGTCGCCCGCGAGACGCTTCGGTCCAACGCCCGATCCTTGCAGCTCTCCTGGTCCGACTTCGGGTCGAAGGGTGAGTGGCAGCACTCGCCCGTGTTGTGGAGCCAGTACTGCAGGTTCTTCGACACCTTCTTCTTGTTCTCACGGATGTCGCAGTAGTACTCCGACCACTTCGCGCAGGATCCTCCGGGGACATGAAAGGGAGGCGGCGCGACCCCAAAAGGGGTCTTCCATCCGAAGCAGAACACATGCAACCTAACGCAAAGCAAAATCAATCAAGGCAGGCCGATCCAGGAATGCGGGCCTCTACAAGCAGTTAAATGCAGTCCGAATCAATTCAAAGCACAAACGTAGCAATGCAGAGCGAGCAATGCAGCGCAAAGAAACGCGAAGAAAGGTGAAGACCAGAGCAATGCAGCGGTACGCGATGCAATTCAAAGCAAAGCAATGTGAATCAATGCGTGCAGTGAGTCAGTGCACAGCAATGAAAAGAAATGCGACGCAAGGAGGAGCGACGCCATGCTAAGAAATGTAAAACCATGCGAAGCAAAGCGCTGCAATCCAAAGAAAACCAAATCAAACAAATATCACATCGATCCAGAGAAAGGCACAACAACGCAACGCAATGCAGCTCAGAACAACGCAGAGCAACGCAACGCAATGCCATGCAGAAAGGACCCACGTGGGGACCACTGGGGGAACTCGAGGACCCCTGTGATGGGCCGATTTTCCACCACCACTACCACTACCACTGGTAGAACCGGGAAGAAGGGAGGACGGAAAGGTCCTCCTCCTTCTCCTCCTCCTCCTTCGCCTTCTCTCCCGCCTACCTATGCTAGTGGCGGTGGGAAATCGATCCATCACCGTCGAACAATCCCCGCGGAACCCCAGGTGTCCTTGCGGCTAACGGCACAAGTGAGCCACGCCGCCCCCCCCCCTCTGCCAGAGCGGAGCGGGCACCTCTTGGGCAGAGCCCAGCGCTGAGAAAAACGGATCTGGCGGCTTGCATTCTGGGAGCCGCCGCTGGAGCAGCACCACCGAAAAGATGTTCCAAAAAATCATCGCCTCAGAAATCTGGGCCAGCTTCCCAGAAGTTTCTTCAAACAGGCCTGGGCCAACTTCTGGTGTGAACGCTGGAGAGGCGGCTGTGGTCAGAAACTGGTTCAGGTTTCTGGCAAGTTGGTTGAGAAACGCTGGCGCAGCTTTCCGGAAGGAGGTTGATTAGTCATATGCTCGACCGTACTCCGAACTTCCTGCTGAAGGGGTGGGGGTCACAAATCTCACAGACGAGCCATGTCCCCGCCCCCCCCCCCAGACCAGACCAGCCAGAAGAGGGTGGCCTTGCGCGCAGACCAGCTCAAAGTGGGCCCCTCCCCTACCTCCCTCCCCTTCTCTTATGAAATTCGGGGGAGCAGTCTGAGAACAGAGCGGGCGCAGGAGCAAGGGGGCCCGCAATCTTCTCAACGCGAGGACCCCAAGAACACAACGCGCGGTTGAAGGGCAGACATTCCAGAGCATCTGGATAAAGGGGGCCGGGATGGGCAGCCGCCTCTGCTCGATTTTTCCTCCTCCTCCTCCTCCGCCTCCTCCTCCCTCCCTCCCTACCTGCGTCCCTCGCCCACTTCCTCCCCCGTCCATCCCTCCCCCACTCCTGCTCCCTCCCTCGCTTCGTACTTTACACCCCTGTCGGTAGGAGGGGGCAGACTTGTTCTCCGCCTGTCGAGCCACATCATCAAAACGAACGGCGCCAAAGCAGTGCTCGCCATGTGTTCACGCTGAAACATGTTGGATAGTTCGTGCTTGTCAACGCTTTCTTGTGAGACATGGGTCACACCCTGTAGGGCATCCAGGATGTGAGCAGTCACGCTGCAGTGGCTTATCTGTTGTCTTGGTATGTTGGAGGCCAGACGCGATAGCTATACCCTGCCCCCTCCCTTTCTACCCCACCCACCCTGCAACCGAAGACCATATCTACAACGTCCCCATGGGGGCGCCCTGCGATTCCTTGTCCCTCACAGGGTGAAACATATCCTGCAATTTCGCTGCCGCGCTGGCACAGCGCCCTGTGGCTCGGGTCAAGTCGGTGGGGACGACCGACCGCCAGACCTTTCGACCAGCGCGTGAGTCGCTGGGGAGGACATGTACCTTCCTGATGGTTGAAAACATCTGCCGCCAGGGCGGGCGGGAGCCAGGCGGAGAAGGGTCCTTCGCTGTGGACGCACACCGCAAGCATCAGGAAATCGAGCCCTGCCCACCCTCGCACCCCAGGACGCAGCCCCCGGCCACGACCCAGCCTCCCACCCTGGACGGATAGGCCCCACGCCGCCAAGACGGACGGTATCCGCTGGCCTCCCCCAGCACGCGCAAAGAGCGTACGGCCCTCCGCGCCGCCTCCGAGGCAAGCAACGCCCCGCTGCCCGCGGCGCCGCGCGCTAGGGACAGGCCAGCGAGGACGCGGTGCCGACGGCGCCCCGCCGTGTGCCGACCGGCACCGCTGCCCGTGCGGCACCGCGGCCGCGGCTTGGCCGACCGAGTGCTGGATGCAGCCCTGGAGGGGGCGAGGCCACGCGGCTGGAGAGGCCGCGCGGCCCAGCGCACGGGGAGCGGGCGCTCGCCGCCCCCGGGCGTCGGCGAGGGGCGCGCACCCGGGGAGCGGGCACTCTTCGCCAG